AACAATTTTATTTGTGAGGATTCTTATAGAAGTATCAATATTGGAATTGATTAACGCTCTTTATGTACAAATTTAATGCAAACGTGTAAGGAAATCCTACCTTAGCATAGTTTTCGTCTGAGGATTCTTGTAGAATTTTCAGCGTCGTCAGGGAAGGRGCCAGGCGAATGCGTTTAGTTTCCGACAGATATTTGCCAGTCTCTGGATCTCGAAGAGCAGCAAATGGCACCATGAACAGAGGACCGTCAGSGATGATGATCACCTCGTCGTGGGTCAGATGGTTAATTACTGGAGGAAGAAGTCTATGGGAGAGCACGTCTAGAGGYTCGAYTTCGTCTTCATCGTCCGTGGAAGCGCACCATCTGTCAACCTGTCGAAAAACTGTTAGGGCAGTTTCACTGAGCTTTGAAGACATTGTAGCGCCTGCTGGCTCCCCGTTTTCATGTTCTAGTAAGYTCAGTAAGTTTATCGATTGGTCATCSMATTTCRTTCCTTCTCTAAGACGCAGCTGACGAAAACTGTTGTCAACGAGATATTGAAAATATCCTTTCTTCATGTTTGTTTTGTCAAYTTCAGACAGACTCGACACCATTGTTGCCAAAGCTTCAATGTTGTCTATTTCATYATAATAGAAGGTTGATGGAGTTTGGGWTGAKATGATCCAGMAATCATATGTTACCTTGTTATCATGAAGATTGTAAAAAAGAATACAGCCTTCGTGATGMGTTAAAATTGTTTKGACATCTGCAARTTCCAGTTCTTTTGATTCTGTTTTCTCAGTTGTGTGGTATTTAAGGAACAAGAGATCTCTCAGAGCACGTGCTCGTCCGCGTTCRCATACCATKAGCGCTTCTTCGATTTGTCCAGTTTTAATGTGGACCCTGCTGAGCACCTTGTAGGCTGTGATGAATGTATCAACAATGGAAACTTTGAATTGGTCTTTATCTTTGAGATCAACAAACAATTTCTCGTAACATTGTATGCTCTTCWTTAGGTATTCTTTTGACTTGCCGAGGTCTTTAATGYTATTGTCTTCCTTGTACAGAACACCTTCAGTTTTTTAAAAAATATTATAGTATTAGCTGCTAAATTGATAATTCGAACGCG